AAAAATGTTGCGTGTATATTTTTATGCAGTGTATATATATATATATATATATATATATATATATTCATTTATAGCTTTATTTATATTTATTTACAGCTTTTTTTTTATATTGCCATTTTTAGCATTATTTTAATTTTAAGCCATCTTGTGGCCCCCTTGGAAGTGTGCTTAGGCCCCCTAGTGGGTCCTGGCTCCCTGGTTGAGATCCACTGGTCTAGAGCATGTTTACGTAAAAAAAATAAAAAAGCATGCAAAATGTGTTTTGTGCAAACAGGCTTAAAACTAAAGCTTACCTGGGCTCTGTCCACCGAGAGATCATTACCATCTGTCCTTTTTCCATCCCTCCTATGTTTCTCTGGAGTCAGGGAGTGGTGTCGCCACGGTGCATGGACCCCCGTGCCCACATGGCATGGCCTGGACCCCCTCCACCCCCATGGTCCTTGTCCGACTCGGGCTGGCTCTGAGCTCGCTCTGGTTTAGGGTTGGGTGTCATGGGTGGCTCAGGCTGCTGCACCGACATGGTGCGGCGAAGGTGTGTCCGCTTACACAGGAAGTCCGGTTTGGCTGACAGACCAAATGAGCCCTTTCGAAGAACCATTCGCACCGAGGAGCTCTTCTTGGGCCGGGCTCTGTGACTGAACTGCAGGGAGGAGAGATGTACTGCATAGCCCTCGCTCAGGAACTGTGGTAGGTCAGAAGACATGAAAAGATTTTAGAGAAAACTAGATTAATTTTGACCAGTTATGGTGGAAATTGAATGAAAGACAAGGAAGAATCAAAGTTAGTTAACCTGGCACTGATTCTGGTACTTCTTAGAGGGCCGTCCCACTATATATATCTGGTTGGGGTTGAGGCCCAGCATGCTATAGACGGAAATGTCCTTCATGGAGCCATAGGCACAGTTGATTTTAATGTGACACTGCCAACATGAGAAAAGGGCAAAGTGTGATTGATAGACGGCCTGAGGATACACTACAAAAACACCTCAGTTCCTGTGTGACTACTCATGCGTGAGACAGAGGAAGCAAGCGTGAGAGAGATGGACCAAGAGAAGCAGAAATAAAGGAATAAAGAAAATTGATTCTTACTCTTCATTCCTACTGTGTGGTATATTTTCATGTCTCCATCAAATACAGTATTTGAAATGTACACTCTGCCATTCAAAAGTTTGCGGTCAGTAAGATTTTTTTATGTTTTTAAAAGGAGTCTCTTATGCTTACCACAGCTGCGTTATTTGATCAAAAATACAGTAAAAACAATAATATCATGAAATATTATTACAATTTGAAATAACTATTTTCTATTCAAGTGTATTTTAAAATGTAATTTATTCCTGTAATGGCAAAGCTGAATTTTCAGCAGTCATTAATCCAGTCTACAGGATCACAGAAATCATTCTAATATGCTGATTTGGTGCTCAAGAAATATAACTTTTTGCTATCAAAATTTAAAACTGTTGCAGTGTTTAATATTTTTGCGAAAACAGTGATATGCTTTCCCCCCCCAGAATCAACTGAAACTTTAAAAGAACAGCATTTCCTTGAAATAGAAATCACTTTTGATCAACTGAATACATCCTTTTTGAATAAGTAGTATTCATTTTTGATCAATTTACTGCATCCTTTCTAAATAAAATTTATTTTTAATCGAATGCATCCCATTTATTTATTTATTTATTAATAAACTGACCTCAAGCTTTTTTAAAGTAGCATATATTTCTATATATATAGGATAAAATACTTTCTCTTACTATTAAGTACAGAAATCATATTAGCTAGTTTATCACAATTAACTGAACATAAAGTTGAATTTGAAATAATTTCACTAGTTGTAATAGAAGTGTTAATTTTTGCCATGTTTTTCGGGTGCTTCTCACATGAAAATCTGGTAATTTATAACATTTGAAGTGTTTCTTCATTAATCTTTTCTTTAATTTAAAATATTTCTTCAATTTAACTTTCCATCATGTTAAAAATTCTTACAAAAGCCAGTTCCTCAATGATATCATCCTCCAGCAAGTGACATCATTTTTGGTGGGAAACCAACAGCAAAAGCACCAGCAAGTATTCGCAATGGATTTGAAGAAATCTTTGATGTTTTATGGTATTTGTTTATCTTACTCTTATTCTTGATCAAATTTTAAAACCTATATAATGTCATAACATTTGAAAGATGGTTAATTAAACAACTGGAAATTGTAGGCTAAATCTTAATCCCTCATTGAGCGCTGGTTGAATAAAGCTTTTTATTTCCATCCTGATAGGCATCCTGTTTGTTTTAAAATGTGCACATAAGAAGTTATGACTCATAAAGTGCCTGAGCTTAACCAGAGCATATTTCTGAAAGTCTAGTGAACCCTTTTATAGAAACACTTCCCTAAACTTCAACACAGGCATATTCGTATTTTACAGTTACAGAGTTCAAAAGGTACTTCAGAACAGGAATGACCCATATACCAAATATGTGGACACGGTAGTAGAAGACTAACCTCTTGTACCAAGTTCCTGAGGAAGATGGTTTTCTGGCGAAGAGGATCGTGCACCAACCCCTCCGAGAAGAAGATCATCCCCTGAGGGAAGTTGTGTTGAGACAGCCAGGACACAACCCTCTGCTTCTGCATGTCTGGACGGCCAGTGATGTAAATGATCAGGTAGCCCAGATCCTGCCAGTGTCTGCATGCAAAATACAATCATTTACCCTCTGAGCAATCCCATAATGCTTGGCGAAAAACAGTTGGGGACTGATTCCTGGACAGTCACGGCGCCTGGTCCTCCAGCAACAGATTGCATTTGACAAAGCAGTAAATTTGCCCAAGGACAGTCTGGGAAACAACCCAAGATTGTCCATTTGTAAATCCCAAACCCCATCTGATATCTGGTATCAGCACTTTGCTATCTCTATATTAAATGAAATCCAATTGTGCCTCACCGGCAGGGCGGTCCTTTTCAATATTGCCGTGGCATGAAATGAAAGCATCGATTCTCTCCCACACGCATTTACACAGAAAGCCACCCTGTGAATTTACCTGACCACATCCACAGCTCCGGGCCGTACTTTAGGGTCGCTGCCCATAATAGAGACGCTAGCGGCAAATGAACCGTCAATGCTAAAGACGACACACTCCATCCCCCGCGGCAAGACCGTCAGGAAAGCCTCCGCACTTGTCTGGTCACCCCTGCGAGGAAAGAGTGACATGAACAAAGATCCAGCTCTTGATCAAGCTCAAGATGCGACATGAAGCCCGAGATCAATTTAACAGCGAGGAGTCGTTCTCCTTCAGCCCTCAGGGTGAGAGTTTTATGAGTGCCAATTGAACGCTTGCAAATTATCCCCGCTGAGACAACCTTGAGAGCATGGCCATTTTGGATACATTACAAGTAATCCTCAGGGTCCCATTGACTTACTTGACAACCATTTTGATGGGGTAGACCCCCACGGCCAGCTTTTTGCTTTTGGGGATGGTGTAGGTCACTCTGCCACTGCTGTTGGTCACCTCGGTGTCTAAGTGCTCCCAGCGACCCGACTGCGGCTGGGTCATCACGTACACATCGACCTGAGAGACAAAGCAACAAAGAAACAGACAGTGGGAGGAAGCGAGTGAGATGGAGATTATTGAGGCATACTAGGGTTGTCACGACACCAAAATGTCAGTAGTCGATCCCAGTACCATTGACATTGCTATATGCCAGTTTCAGAACCACAGCAAGCACTGTTTTGCTATTTAATACACTCCTTTATTTGATGCATTAAATATTAATATACAAATTGAACAAAAGTGACAGTAGAGATATTTACAATGCCACTCAAGATTTCCATTTCAAATAAATGTTGCTCTTTTGAACTTTACTTTCATCAAAGAAACAGATAATAATAAGAAATATTTCTTGAGCACCAAATCAGCATATTGCAATGACTTCTGAAGGATCATGTGACACTGAAGACTGGAGTAATGGCTGCTGAAAATTCAGCTTTGCCATCTAAGAAATAAATTACATTTTAAAATGTATAAAAATAATAAAACAGTTACTTTAACATGGGTAACACTTTACTTAAAGCCTTTATGTGTAATGCATTATAAAAGTAGTTTTAATGCATTAATCATGCCTTGTAACACACCTTATAATGCATTGTACAACCTCTTGAATAATTGCAACCACAGTTAAGACATTATAACACATATGAATTCATTGTTACACTATGGTTTTAAATTCATTTATAATTATTTACAACAAGATTACATTATGAATAATTATAATGGATTATACCCTTTAATTACCATTTATAATGCATTACACATAAAGGCTTTAAGTAAAGTGTTACCTTAACATGTAATAATATTTCACAATATTACTGTTTTGCTGTATTTTTGATCAAATAAACAGAGCCTTGGTCAGCATAAGAGACTGCTTTCATAAACATGAAAACAAAAAAACTGACAAAACCCAAACTTTTTAATGGCAGTGTAAATAAGTTTTTAGAAGTAAATATTATTTTTATATTAAAAATATTGTATAAGGCATGCAGTATTTATCAATAACATTAAATTTTGAATAACTCAAAAACAGTCAGTAATTAAGAAAATAAAATTAAGTGGCTTTGTGTCATTTTTATTAATTTTAACAACAAAGAGTAAATACTGTAGGTATTTTCACAACATTATACATTTTTCCTGCCCGTCAAAGTATAACTTCAAAAAGTTTACATTAGTACTTTACCACGATATATTAGCCAATATATTAGTTATTGGCTTCAGAATGTACTGTAGATAATGAATGGTTTACATATTGACACGTCTGTAAATCTAACTATGCGGTTCATCAGATGTTTACATATGCAGCCACACATTACAAGGTGCAAGTGCTATTCACAGAGAGCTGAATGTGCATTGATACTGTAAAAGTTACTGGTAAGCTTTCACTTGCGGCCGAAGTACCAGTATTATCATTCGTTTTTTCATTAGTAGTTTCACTGTGAAAACAACAACCCCTTAAGAATTCCACTGACATTTTTGCAAACAGCTTGTTTGAATGCATATTCTATGATAGTGGACCACAGCTCTCTCACCTTTTCCCCAGTCAGGGTCACCATATCCAGCGGACCGTACATGAAGCGACCAACCAGGGTCTGATGCCCGTCCTCGGTTGCGATGACATCATTGACTCTGTGGTTGGCGGTGACATTCTGCAGACAGAAAAATATGTCAGGTTGCCTCTTCTTTTCTATCAGTTTCTTGCCACAAGAGAGTCTGTTATGACAAATAAATAAGGCAAAGGATAAGCGTAAATGACACTGATAATACTGCCATCCTTCCCTTCTTCAATAAATTTCATTTCAGTGATAAAGCTGTTCTACACAGAGCTCAGTGAAGATAAATCCTACAGGCAGCTGTGCTTAAATGGGAAATTAAAGCACGCAAAACATAGCTATGCAAATCCTGAAAATAACTGGCCACAGTCACCTTCATGCCAGCAGAGGAAGCAGGCAAACAGAGAGAGGAAGATAAATGCAAGAAGCTTTTACTCTGCTGCTTTATAGAGCAAAGGCAAGGCTTTGAGACAGCGTCTGAATTCACAAAAGCTTCTTCCCATAAGCCTGACTCAAAACATCCCTCTCACATACCAGCTACTATAGTGATGAAATCCAACAGGATACTGAGGCTTAAATGAACTGGGGCCTTAAAAACTGCAAACAGTACTAGATTTTCACATTTCTGAACTATGTTTGAGTGGTGCTTGCCCACGGCTTTATATGCCACTGCTAAAGCTTTGTGAGTGGTTGTTAGCATGTTGCCATGTGGTTGCTAGATGGTTATTTACAAGGCTGCATGATTTGGGGGAAAAAAATCAAATTGTGATTAGTGCTGCCAAAATTAGCACATTAACGCATGCGATTAACTTTTTCAAAAATATTGAACGCAATTAACGCACAGGCGGAGCTAGGGTTGGCCACCCTACTCACAACTGCTGCTTCTGTCTATTTTTTCTTGACAAGAATTGCGCTTATTTATTTTTGGCATTTTTTTTGCCTTTATGATAGGACAGATCAGAGCTGACAGGAAGCGAAGTGGGAGAGAGAGAGGGGGGCAGGGTCGGCGCTGTATGTCGGCGCGCTGCCCACAAGGCGAGAGAATTGCGTTTATTTAGACGGAGAACGTCTTTACGACCACATCAAATGGGAAACTTTTCAGACGCGCACTCCAATTCACCTTAGTGCCAGGCAATAGTCAAATGAGCGCGGAAAATAATACGCAGAGCGAATGTGGGCAGCCATGCCATTGTTTTCAAAAGTCTCCATTTTGGTCCGTTTACACTGAAACGCAACCCCGGAATTTTCAAACTAAAAGGGGGTCTGCAGCATTTTTAAAAGGGTCGAGAACACTGGAGTAGTGTAAACGACAGGTGTACCCCTAGCAAAAGTTATGCGTTTTAAAACAAAAATGCACTAGTGTAAACGTAGCCTTATATTATAAAAAATATACTGTCTGTTGTTTCTACATTAATTTGAAGATTGAATGTGAAATTAATGTGAAAAACTTTGATGTTAAGTGGGATTAAACACGGTTGTTCGCAATTAATTTTAGAAAAAATGTGCGATTCATTCGTTAATTCGATTGATTTTTCGATTGACAGCACATTGTGATACTTGTCTGCGGAGTTTGTTTGTAAGGCTACACAATTTGGCCAAAATGTTGTAAAGCTAATAGAACTAGATGTCCTTAACTACTATGTACTTACATCAAAAAAATAAGTGCAATGTACTTTGTGTTCATATTGTGTTGAAAATCACTTTTGCTGCTATTGAGGTGGGATACGGGTAAGGTTAGGGACAAGTTTGGTGGTTTGGGTAAGATTAAGTGTCAACAGTGTAATTATAAATTAATTACAAATGTAATTACATGCAGGTTTTTTTTTTAAATAGTACAATGTAAAAGCATGTATGTACACAATAAGTACATTTGTAATGCTCGGCCTAATAAAAGGCTGGCCAAAAGGTACCAAATCAGTAAAGCTAATAGAACTAGATGTTTCAATCCCTTTAGTAGGAAACTCTTGATAGTAGCAATCGGTGTGGAGTGGTTAAAAAGAGGGTAAGGTATGTCATTGGGGTCATCAGGTGGGCACCCTGCTTCATCGACGTTTCGTTGATTGAAACCCACAACGTCTCCAAAAGGCTCAACGGTGTACCCAGCATCCCAGGTACACCCCCCTCCATGCCATACCCTCTATATCCCTGATGTCTGTGACTTGGCCTTTCACGATGGAGATACTTCTGCACTTACTGGGCTTTAACTTCATCCTCGCCCATGTTATATTTTGATGAAGTTTCTCCAGCAGTCTCTTGGTGCAGGGGACAGTTGTTGTGAGTGTTGTTAGATCGTCCATATAGGCTCGAATTGGTGGTAACCTCTGATTACATTGTAGTCGTTCTCCTCCCACGACCCATTTTGAGGCTCTGATAATAATCTCCATTGCCATCGTAAAGGCCAATGGGGAGATGGTGCACCCCGCCATGATGCCTACCTCCAGCGGTTGCCAACTTGTGGTGAAGCCTGATGTTGTAAGGCAAAACTGTAGATCCTGGAAGTAGTGTTTCACTAGATTTGTGATTATAGTCGGCACCTGGAAGAAATCAAAAGCAGCCCACAAAACCGAATGAGGGACTGAACCATAGGCATTGGCCAGATCGAGGAACAAGACGTGAAGATCTTTCCCTTCTTTCTTTGCAGTCTGGATTTGATGCCATATGATGCTGTTATGCTCAAGGCATCCCGAAAAGCCTGCAATACCAGCCTTTTGGATTGATGTATCAATGAAATGGTTTTGTTTTAAATACTGTGTCAGTCGCTGTGCCAACACACTGAAAAAAAATCTTGCCTTCAATGTTCAGCAGATTTATCTGGCGGAAATGTTCAATGGTGGTTGAGTTCTTTTCTTTTGGGATGAACACCCCTCCCGCTCTTCGCCAGGCTTTCGGGATGATTTGTTTGTCCCATGCCACTTTCATGTTTTTCCACAGAATTTTCAAAACATCTGGAGCGTTCTTATAGACACTATACGGTACGCCGTTAGGGCCTGTTGCAGATGCCGATCTTGCCTTTTTCACTGCCTGCTTCACCTCGCTCAGCTTAGGAGGGCTGATATCAAACTGATGTCGTGGTGGTGATATTGGAGGGATGTCAGTGGGGACAACGATCGGTTCATCTTTTTTTCCATCAGTATAGATGGTTCTCAAATGCTCTTCAACCTGATCTTTTGATGTTTTCAGGGATCCACTCTTCTCCTTTGTGAATATACCTTTCACAAACTTAAAAGGGTATTTGTAGAAATCGGTTCTGGCTTTTTCTTTCTTCTTCCAACGCATCCGTAGGCTTTCTGCTCGACGAAGTTTTGAGAGCCTTCATTGTAGCAGAATTTGTTTTATTTAATAATCATCATAATAATAATACTTCAATTTTACAGTTAGGTTAGGGTTAGGGCTTTTACATTTTTTTTTTAATCAGCCGGTTTCATTACAAGTTTGGGAAGATTGCTGGTGCATGTTGCATTCCTAAATGCACATTATAAGTGATCCAAACTCAAAGCATATGTAGAGATGAGTTCGCATGAAGTTGCATTTACTGTAAACAAAGCCACTCTAAGACACAGAAAACACTGGATAATGAGCTGCTGGCGTGTAAAAGAAAACAGAGCTGCACTCTTAAACACACAGTACATATATTTATATAATTAAATCGCAGCCTTTGTGATATGATAATCACACTAAGCCATTATTTTGTTAATTTTATTTAGTTACTACAAATCAAAAGAACCCATCTTCAAGTCTCTATGTTATTCTGGTATGTAAATATGGCTCTTGTCCCTTCTACAGTGCAAGTCTGTGGGATTTTTTTTTTGCCCGTTTTATTGTCCATCTGGTAAAAAACTAGTCAGAAAAAAAATCTAAGTACGAGAAATAATCAAAGCAATGTTAGAATTAGCAAGCCCCCAAAAAAATCTCAACTGAAGTTTGAATGTCATGTAAATGTTGAAACTCAACTGAACAGTTGCTGGTAGGGATGTAACGATTCACTCAACTCACGATTCGATTCACAATTTTGATTTCACGATTCGATTCGATTCACGATTTTTTATTTTATTTTTTACAAAATGAGATTTAAGACAAATTATAAATTAAATGTGCATGTCCTTTTATCATTGCTTGGACAAAATGCTGCACATTTCTTTGTGAAATTGAAATATAACACTATAATAATATACTAATATAGCACTTGCATATTATTGCTTTTTTGTTGGTTTTGATTGCTTCTATTGTCCTCATTTGTAAGTCGCTTTGGATAAAAGCGTCTGCTAAATGACAACATTTAAATATAATGTAAATGTAAATAACAAAACTAAATTGAAATTTTAAAACAAGCCCCAAATCAAATAAATAAGTAGCACAAATAAAATAAATCTCTTCATATAAACAAACTAAGGCTTTGTCTGTGCTCTTTCCATTTAATATTAGAGGCAACCACTGCATTTTAATCATGATCCAAACAAAGATGCTGCATACATGCAACATGAGCAGTTTTTAATCTAAATTAAATTGTATAATTTTGAAATTTGAAGCAAAAACAGAATGGTTTGACTTCAGTTTTGTGAAACTATACATAAAATATCTGCATGAAACAGCAGAGCTGAATGAGACGCAGATTCACTCTCTGCCAGCAGGTGGCGCGTAAAGTTTTTCCTTGGTTTCCGCTGTAAACAAAGGAGCGCTGCACTTATGAACTTTAATATGCATTATACAGAGGCAAGATTAATAAAAAAAATACCATCTAAACTTTTCTAAAGACAGTAAGTTCCCCTCAGACATACATTCATATATACTCCTACCCCTAACTGAATCGCGATTTGTTTAGCATCTCAACCGATTTGAATCGTCACATATTTGAATCGATTTTCAACCGGCTTGCAGTTAATCGTTACATCCCTAGTTGCTGGCACTCATTTCATCAGAAATCACTGAAAATGATTAACTCGTTAGTGTGTTATCACGTTAGCGTGTACGTCACTTTAAAATAACTTCTTGCCATGGTCACTTTTGAATGAGAATCTAAGACTTTGTTAATATTATGTTATCATGTTGGTATGGCATGAGCCCACACAGAGAGCTGTACACCCCCGTAAATCATTAGCCCACAAAAGCTAATGAGACTGATTGCACTGATTTGTCATTTAATGAAGCGGTTAAACATTTCCCAGCTTGCAGCCATTTGCATATTGATTAAGTTAGTCAATAATTCATCTTGGCATGGGCCCATACATGATTGCCATATGATGGGCTTCCAAACCAACACACATACTGATGAGATGCACACAAACAGCCAACAAGCAACACACCACCATATGTGCTGGTGACACACCTGAGTGGATCTTCAGACACAAGTCTAATCCGACAAAGAAGCATGTTGCTGTGTAGGAAAAGCATGTATGCTTGTGGAATGGATCCAGATTGGTGCCTACTTTATGCCTTGAAGCTCGCTCACCGAGCCAGAATGATGCAGCATATACACACAAATAGAAGCATTAAGGGTCTCACAAAGGAATCAGGAGAGTCTTTCGAAAACAACATGACTGCATAGAAATGCCTTTGACATGAAAGGCTAGCAAGCGCTCTGATCAAATGTTATTGAGGCCATCAGCGCATTCAGAAGGGCTCAGCGGGCAGCAGAAATAATCACGATTTCAGATCAAGGTCCTGAGTGAACAAAAAAAACATTCCCTGTGAAAAGAAACGGTAGAGGTGATAACACAGAAGTGTTTCACTGAGCTATACTTAACCTCAGTGAAGGACTGGGAAGAATTGGTCTTTGTTCTGGCGGGTTCTTTTGAAAGCGAGAGCTAAAATACCCTGTAAACCTGCATAGGCAGTAGTGTTCAGCAGCACTGTTAGCTAATTGTGTTGATGTGCCTCCGAGCAGTAAATCAAGGTCGGCCGTGATTTTCTTAAGGCGCGGATTTCTGCCCACACACACTGAGCTATTGTGCCGAATTTGAGAAACTCAAAGCCCTGGCAGAGAGGGGGTATTTTTAGTTCTTCTACAATGTCAGGACTCTGCTGCAGTCCACATTTTCACTTGAGTGATATGTGTGTGTGTGTGTGTGTCTGTCTGATTCTGTAGACCAGAGCCAGAAATTAGCCAGGGCTCAGGGGGGAAAAATGCCATTCAAAAGGGACAAAAATGCCCTGGATATTTAAATATAGGGGCCAAAAAAATGTCCCTAATTGAAACAGCTATTACATCAAAATCTACAGACAGCAGACAGTATACTTTACAATCCAACATAGAGACAAGATAATTATTTGAATCACTATTATTATTATTAGGGATTTGAATTTAAATTGATATTAAAATTCTGGATTATCCAGTGAAACGTCAGACTTCTCTCTGGTGACATATGCTGGACTTTTCCAATCATTTAGTCAGTTTAAATCCACTCGTTTCTTACAATTGAGCAAAGTCCATGGCCTACGTTTTTTCTTTTTTTCCGACAATCTGTTTTACTCGGATGTATGTCACAATACAGAAGAAAACATCTACTGCTACTTCTATTAAATTTCGAATTTAAGTATTCAACATTGACTGATATAGATACTCAGTTGATAACCAATATAGTACCGATATAACATGCAGTGCTGTTTTTATATGGTCAGAAAAACAATATGCCCACATATTAACCACTGAAAATCAATTCCAAGAGGCAAACATTGCATCCTAATAAATATCTGACACTGCTGCACCTCTATCACACTGACATCTAACTGATGGATAACATTACTCAGCAGATTTCATGCACAGAGGTGTACTATTAATCACAACAGACACTTATAATGAAGAGCAAGTTAAACTACCTGGGTAAAAAAAACACACAAAACTTGATGTTTGAAAGTTTTCCAGTGTATGTGAGAGTATGTTTTGTTTTGTCAGCTCGGCCATGTTTATCCTTACCCTAAGCTTGACGTGTGTGCGTCTGCGTAGCCACTTTTCCCTTAGACTTGAAGGTGAGAAGGGGGCGGAGTCAGAGTTGTCCATCTCTTGGGCTTTCACATAGTCACAGTGCATCACCTGTCAATCAATCACACAGATATTAGTAACCAATCATTGTTATCACGAGACCTCTAAGGGAGGTTAAAGGAGAAGTGTGTAATTTCTGTGTAATTAGAAGCAGCACAGGGAATTGCAATTTCTTCCAACAGGTGGCAGGTTTCCAGGCTTCCCTTGGTTCACAAACAAGTTATTTGGTTGAGACAGATGATGAGATGTTAGACTGCAATTGACTTGAAGTACAGGTAGTATCTGCACATTATCCTTGATACAAAATGGATAATAAAATGTGTAGTATGTGGTGTTAAATCCAACTATGAATCAGCAGTATTGTCCTTTTTTCTTAAGGCATGAATAGTCAAGTTGTAATAATTTTCCATCCAAGCGTAAATAATAAGAAAATCTATTTCCCCCAAGGATAGACAACACAACATTCTTTAAATGCTGCTACTGCACAGGTCTGACTGAATCAGAATGCAGGTATTAACTCTTCAAATTAAATACAAAATTTGTCATTTTATCTGTTTCCTGCTGCAATGTAACTTGCTACTTGTAACTAATGATTTTTTTATTAATTTATTTTTTTTAATTAAAATTTGTTTCCCCCTTTTTATGTATTTGGTGTATTTTTAAATATATGTATGTGTGTGTTAAGTGTTGTATATGTGAAGCACCACGAAAGTCTGAATTAATTGCCCCAAGGGGATTAATAAAGCTCTAAACTAAATATTGTGAGAAATACACCTACAATCAAAAACATTCTTTATGACCTCTATTATTTAACAACAAAAAAATCACTCAGTGGATTCAGGTGTAGATGAAACATCTTTGTTGCTGTAACATTTGAGCTGGATCAAGAGGATCATGTTTATTAGTCTTTCGTGTTACTATTAAAGGGGTCATATGATGTTGCTAAAAAGAACATTATTTTGTGTATTTGGTGTAATGAAATGTGTTTATGCGGTTTAAGGTTAAAAAAACATTATTTTCCACATACTGTACATTATTGTTTCTCCTCTATGCGCCGTCTTTCTGAAATGCGTTGATTTTTACAAAGCTCATCGTTCTGAAAAGCGAGGAGAGCTCTGATTGGCCAGCTATCCAGTGTGTTGTGATTGGCCGAATACCTCAAGCGTGTGACGGAAATTTGTTTCTCCTCTATGCCCCGCCTTTCTGAAACGCGTCGATTTTTACAAAGCTCATCGTTCTGAAAAGCGAGGTGTGCTCTGATTGGCCAGCTATCCAGTACACTTTGATTGGCTGAATTCCTCAAGCGTGTGACGGAAATGTTACGCCCCTTACCATACTGTGATGCCGTGTCCCGGCGCAACGAGACAAAACCAATAAATCCCATTATAAACTAGGCATATTTGTAGCATCCAGTGGGGACATAATTACAGATTATTATGACTTATACCGTCTTTTTATGCGTTGTGTTGCATCGCGCTGCGTAAACATAAAACCATGTCTGCATTTGTGATCGGAGAAATTACAAACAACAAGCGCTACTCTACACTGCTCCAAACTCGCATTTGAATCATCAGTGACAAATGCTTTAAATATGAAAACGTACTTACAGTCTGTGAGTCAGAACAGCCAGCATTGTAGTCTACTCTCCCAGGATCAGGAAACAGTCCTCCATAAAATGCGCTGCACACATCTGAATATTTGGGTTGAA